CAAAAAAAAAAAAAAAAACCTAACAAAAGAAAGATAGAAAGACAGAAAGACAGACAGAAAGAAAGAAAGAGAGAAAGAAAATTGATTCCAGAGCAGGGGCAGAGAAATGAAAAGATGAACATAGGCTAACTTATTTTATCAGAAATTAAAGAGAGTGCTGAGGACTCATGCTTGTAATCCTAGCTGCTTGGGAGGCTAAGATCTGAGGATCGTGGTTTCAAAGCCAGAGCAGGCAGGAAAGTCTGTGAAACTTATCTCCAATAAACCACCAGAAAACTAGAAGTAGAGCTGTAGCTCAAAGTGGTAGAGTGCTAGCCTTGAGCAAAAGAGTTCAGAGACAGCACCCAGGCCTTAAGTTCTAGTCCCATGATTGACAGAAAAAAGGAAGGAAAGAGGGCAGGAAAGATGGAAGGAAGGAATGAAATTAGAAGGAAGAAAGAAATAAGCAAACAAAGAAAAGAAAGAAGTTAGAAAGTACTCAGATCATAGCAGGCACATGGCAGAAGAGCTAGCAACTGCCTGGCACTGTTGCTCACACCTATAATCTCAGCTACTTGGAAGGGTGTGACCTAGAGGATCACAGTTCAGTGCCACCTCAGGCAGAAAACTGTTTGAAATTCCATCTCTAAATTAATGAGCAAAAAACCAGAGTGGAGACGTGGCATAAATGGTAGAGTGCCAGCTGTGAACAAGAAAACCTAGCTAGAGCTTACGGCTCTGAGCTGAAACCTTGCTACTAGAATAACAACACCAAAGGCCCAGCGACCGATTTGGAGAAGTGCCTGCTGGCCCAATGTGGGCTGACTGGAGAAGTGACCAGATGAGCGTGGAGAGTCGGCACTGATGTAAGCAAAATGCAGAGGGCAGAGAAGGAAGTCTTTCTCGGAGTAGAATGCCTGCAGTTAGGGGCTGGGAAGGTGGCTCAGTGGTAGAGCGCTTGCCTTGCATGCATGAGGCCCTGGGTTCAATTCCTCAGCACCACATAAACAGAAAAAGGTGGAAGTGGTGCTGTGGCTCAAGCGATAGAGCTCTAGACTTGAGCTGAAGAGCTGAGGGACAGCGTTTAGGCCCACAACCGACAAAAAAGAATGCCTGCAGTTACTTCAGTGACCACCGGCCAACATAAACAGGCGTATGCAGGTGTGAAACAGCTGGATATCAGCAGTCTCCAACTATGTGCCCAGAAGATGCATAGTAACCACAAAAGCTGGGGGAAATAGCGGAGACCTGGAAGATACCACCGGGAATAGTGTGGCGTTCACACACGCGGCTGATAGTCCCTTGTCTGTCCTGTATTTACTCGGGAGACCCACACCCAGGGGCACACAGAGCAGCTGCCTGGCAAGCCTGTGGCCTTGATGGTCTCTTGAGGTAGAGTCCACACTGCCCAATCCCTGGAGAGATGCCTGTCCCTGTGGTTCCTCTCTCCCCACCGGCCACGCCCCCCAGATGGCTCCGCAACCAAAGCAGTGCACTTGGCTGACTCTGGACCGAAAACATGGAAAACTGTGAGCCAAAATAAGGCTTTTCCCCCTTTTAAATGATTTCTTCCAGGTTTTGTCACAGCAGTAACAATCACAGTAAAGATAAACTATTGACATAATCGTGTAATCTTCCATCTTAAATGTCTAAAGTACATCTCACTAAGTCAGCACGTGGATGAACTCTGACTCTACTGAGATGCTTGCTATTTTCCAGAGACTATGCTCAGTAGTTTTGCGGGGGGGAGGGTAATTAGTGTGTTTAACCCCCCAGTAGCCTCACTTCATGGATGAGGTAACTGCTCCCTGACATAAAGCTTAGATTCAGAGCAACAGTTTGGCTCCAAAGTCTCTGCTCTAAGCTGCAGTGCACTGCTGGGGAAGCTATTTTAATTAAGAAGGGGCTGGGCAGGTGGTCAGTGGTAGAGTGCCTGCCTAGCATGCATGACGCCCTGGCCTTGATTCCTCAGGACCCCATACACAGAAAAGGCTGGAAGTAGCACAGTGACTCAAGTGGTAGAGTGCTAGCCTTAAGCAAAAGAAGCTCAGGGACAGGGGCTGGGAAGGTGGCTCAGTGGTAGAGTGCTTACCTCGCATGCATGAGGCTCTGGGTTTGATTCCTCAGCACCACATAAGCAGGAAAAAAAAAAGCCAGGAGTGGCACCGTGGTTCAAGTGGTAGGGCACTAGCCTAGAGCTGAGGAGCTGAGCCCAGGCCCAGAGTTAAAGCCCCACGACTGACCAAACAACAACAACAAAAAAGCAGCAGCTCAGGGACAGTGCCCAGGCCCTGAGTTCAAGCCCCAGGACTGGCAGAAAATTTAAAAAAAAACAAAAAAAAACTCTTAAGCAGAAAATTGTAAAGTTAACACATTGGGAGCCTGAGATTAAAACCAGATAAAAAAAACCTCCTGTTCAGGTAAACAGTAGACACTCCATGTGCCAGTGTCTACCCTGCGAGGACACTTCTCTGCGCATGCGTTACCTGGCAGAAGAACTGCTGCTGGGTCCCCGCTGCGGGCGTGGTGCTGAAGGTGCTGGGGGAGCTGGCGGCGGAGGCTGGGAGACGGTGCGCCGCAGCCACGGGCGCAGGAGTCCTGTTTGGCTGGGGGACCTGATCTCCTGTGAAATTTGATCCCGATGTCCCAGATGGAACTGCAGACCCCAGACTAGGATGGGCAGTGCTGGCTGAGCTGACAGCAGGAAACCGAGGAGGTCCCGACATGTTTGTCACCGAGGGCATGGAGGTAAAGCCGGGTCTCCCCTGGGAGACGCTGCTCTGCCCGGGTGACAGGTGCAGTACGGCGGGCGATGCCTGCTGCAAGGGCATCTGTCCGATCTGAGGAGAGGCGTGATTGACGATCACTGGACTTCCGGAGGTGGTGAACGTCTGCCCAGACACTAACTGGACGGCGGTATTCTGGTTGTTAAGCATCTGTCCAGAATATGGTTGGTTGGTCCTGAGCATGTTGGAGGAGTTTCTGTTCAACATGACATGCTCTGAGGCCGCCTGGCCGGAAATGAGCTGAGATGGCTGAGTCTGAAGAAGTTGCCCATTGATGGTCTGCACGTGGTGTACCGAGTTGGAGCTGACGGAAAGGCTTGTCGGTATGAGGAATTGGCTTTGGGGTGCGTGAGGCTGGCCCATGGGGGAATGGATGACGATGCTGCCCCCCGCGTTGCTCACGGCCTGCGAGGTGACCGGCTTTCTCGGGTTCTGTTGGTTTACAATGTTCACAGACATGTGTGGGCCCACGACGGAGCCCTGCGGCGAGCTGGCGGAGGCAAAAGAGATCCCTTGTTGGACGTGGTGCTGCTGAATTCCCAGATTGTTCACATTGTACGTGTTCTGCTGACCCATCTGGATAGGCTTTGGCTGGATATTAATTGGGACTTTATTTGAATTTGGTGCGAGTCCTCTCTGTATGATGATGTTATGCACAGGTAAGGATGTCTGAAAATTTGTGCTGTTAAAGGGAACAGTGACAGGCTGTGCTACCGGGCTGGAATTGGAGTTCCCGAACAGTGAGCTCCCGTTAGGAGTCTGTCTATGAACCAGAAGCCCTCCACTCACATTTGACGGGCCCTGCTGCCCGCTGCCCTTCAGGATGATCTGTGAGCCATCGAGGTTGTTAATTGTCATCATGGAAGGTTGATTACCAAATGACCCGATTAACTGTATTTGACCAGAACCACTAATCTGACTGCTGTTAGGCAAATGCTGGCTGGGAACACTGATTCCCACGTGCTGCATGAAGCCATGTTGCACACCCACTGTATTGCTTGCGAACGATGCTCCCACAGGCACGTGAGTCACCCCAATGGGGTGCAGCGTCTGACCTGAGTAATTCGAAACGTTAGAAGCCTGAGTGAAGGATGCTGATGAGGAAGGATGAAGCTGAGCTTGTGCAAACTGTTGGCTCGAACCTATACTGGCGTCCAGATACGCCTCTTCTGCCAGCGTCTGCTCGGTGATATTCGCCTCCTGCAAGGATTTCTGAAGAATGTCGAAAGGTTGGTCCTCACTGAGATCAGGAAGAGGAGAAGACTCAAGTTCATCTTCAAGAAACTGAAGGCTGCTGGAAAGCGGAAGTCCATCACTGGGCCCTTCTCCAAGCTGGGTGCTTACACCCTTGAGGGTTGCCTTAGGATCAGCATTCTAGAAAAGAAAGCAGTGCGTTACATCGCAGATCCAACCTTTGGAAAAAATTCCATCTCACTTGGCTTTTAAGGCACAGCTCCTCCCAACTGCTATCTTATTTCCTTAGTAGTGATAAATATTCTTCATTACTCTGGTGGATTGTTGGACAGGGAACAGATAAAAACATCGCCAGGCGCTGGTGGCTCATGCCTGTAATCCTAGCTACTCCAGATTCTGAGACCTGAGGATTGTGGTTCAAAGCCAGCCCAGGCAGAAAAGTCCCCCACTGGGGCTGGGAAGGTGGCTCAGTGGTAGAGCGCTTGCCTTGCATGCATGAGGCCCTGGGT